ATGGTCTAAGGTTATTCTCATGCATGATCTAATGAGATATCTTAATGAATCAAGTTATGACTTAATATGTATTCCGTGGGAAGTAATGCTTAGCACCGAGTGGTTATTGAATATGAGATGGAAGATTTTATACTAGTTGAGTCTGGCTTCCCAACGGGACCTTTTACACTAGTTGAGTCCGGGTTCCCAAAGTATGTCTCATGAGATAGAGACCTTCTACCCTAGTTGAGTCCGGGTTTCTAGTAGCAATCTTCTTATCCCATAAATTATGTGCCCCCATAGGTTATTTAGCTAGTGGATCCACATAAGCTAAGAGTGTGGTTCTACCTTAGGCAAGTAGGACAACCCTTTTTCGGTGTGGGTAACACCGGGGGTCCATGTATAGCTCACATGGTGTCATGTCGGTTAAGGATTATTCCCACAACAACAAGAATAAGAATATGAGTTATGAACTATGGTTACTCAAGAAGCTTTACTTAGAATGGGTGAGATTTATGGGGTCTTCTTCATGCATTGCACAAGTATGCTTTGAGCTTATTTATGAAGTGTTTCTCTGATGATATGATGATCAATGTATTGACTATGTTTATGACTTATGCTCTTCCACTACCTTCATAAAGATGTTTTAACTTAGTAAATTGCATGCATTCAAATGAAATGTCCCTTTTAGCATGTTTTCAATGTTTTTATGCATGGTTATCATACTTAGTGCATTTTTGTACTAACGCCTACTTTTCCTACATTTTTCCCCAAGTGTAGGGTCCGGCTCTCGAGGTGATCATTCTAGTGGCTAAAGCTTGGACATTGCTATCTTCCGAGCTTTTTGGTGAGTCTTCATGGTTTGAGGACGACTTTTTCTCATGATGTATTTTCCTTTATTGTATTTCCTTTTCGGATGTGTTGTAAGGGCTAGGCCCTTTCTCTTTTAGAATATTGTAATAGATGGCTATATTGAGACAAGTCTATACTTCCGCTTCCCTTTATGAAAATTTTAAGACTTGAAATGTGTTTCTCTTTATTGTTCTATTCTTATGTTATGATATTCGAAGTGGCTTACATGTAGCCTTTTTGGGTTCTATGTGCCTTGTTACTTCTAGGGGGTACCCCTAAGTCGTGACATCTATAAGGATATATCTAACCCCTAGAGTTTCCCTCATATGACATCATACCCAACTATATTAATTCAACCTTAATATAATAAGATAGGCATGGGTGCATGTAATTTCATCATAAATGCATGAAATTCTATCAATTCAATCATAAACAATCATAATCCACTCAATTGGATCAACATTCATCATAACCCACAACAATGGAAGAAACCCTAACTAAATTGGGGAAATTCTTCTTCAATTTGTGGAATTCTAGGGGAATCCATGGGAGGAAGGATCCCATGGATGAAAAGCCATCATACCATAGTCACAGTGCCCACAAAAGCTTGAAGATTGGAAGACTTGATCTTGATCTAGCTTCAATCTCCTTCTTCTTCTTCTATCTTCTAGAGAGAATTTTTTAGGGAAGTTTTGGGTTATATTTTGAGATTTTAGAGAATGACTTAATTGGAGGATTTTGGGGATTAAAAATACTTATATAGGTGGTCTAGGTTTAGGAAAAACGACACCATTTCAATTAAATTAAAATCGGAAAAGACCCTTAAGTTCCTAAAATAATTTCCCTGACATGACCCACGAGACCATGAACTAATGGTCCATCCTGGTCAATCGTAGATCATGGTTAGAGACTTTTGGCCAATCCACGACCGCCCCATCCACGGACCGTGGACCCACCCACGGGGCGTGGTCTTGTCCATGGTTCACTGCCTCAGGCAGTTTTCCCTAGGGCTTTCTTATAGGCTCTAGGTTAGTCCTTGTGAGGTGGTACCTTGGAGTCCTACCGTGCTAAACCCTTTATTTAGGTTCGGGGTGTTACAATATCTCCCCCTTGGGATCATTCGTCTAGAATGAGATCCTAAGCACGTTTCTAGACCCAAGACCCAAGAATAGCAGCTCATCATGCATTCAACCTATCCAGATGCACACAACTAAGGAGGAAACATCAACTCCTAGTTAAATTTATTCAATGCACCTTAAGGAAGTAGCAACTACATCTAACAACCCATTATGCATGAAATTTCCACGTTTCTTACTTCAACGAGGAACTTTCCATCTCCAAACTTTAAAAGCAGGCCCAACACATTCTCATGGAGCTCATATGCAATTCAATATCAAAAGCGCAAATTTGGGGATGGGATCTCACTCCAAGTCAAGGCATGTTCTACGACTCATCTCATGAAGTCTATAAGAACCTCATACTCAATACTCAACAACATGAGGAAAATAATTCACATAAGTCATTTCTTTCACAACTTAAGTAATTCATGAACATGCATAATCATAAGGAAATCATGGAAACACATAAAACACACATGACTTCAAACATTACCAAACCAAGAGGAACTCATTACCTCAAGCTAGAATAGGAGGAAAAATATGAGGATATCGAGACTTCATATCGTCCTCGGCCTCCCAAGTAGCACCCTCAACTAAGTAGTTTCTCCACAAAACCTTCACGAAAGCTATTTCCTTGTTCCTCAATCTCTTAACTTGCCGGTATAGAATCTCAACCGGAACTTCTTCATAAGAGAGATTTCATCAACTCCCAACCCTTCAAGGGAAACTATAGATGTTAGATCTCCAAAAGACTTCTTAAGCATAGAGAAATGAAAAATGGAATGCATCGATGCCAACTCATTTGGAAAATCAAGTTCATACGCAATCTTACCAACACGTCTCAAGATTTGATACAGGCCCACGTATCGGGGACTATGCTTCCCCTTCTTGCCAAATCTCATCACACCCTTCATGGGTGAGATTTTCAAATAGACACAATCATTAACCTCAAACTCAAAGTCTCTCCTTCTAACATCAGCATAGGACTTTTGTCGGCTTTGGACGGTTCCCAACCTCTCTCTAATGAGCCAGACTTTCTCCATAGCCTCTTGAACTGATTCAGGTCCAATCAAAGCAATTTTACCCACTTCAAACCACCCTATAGGAGATCTACACATCTTACCATAAAGAGCTTCAAAGGGGACCATACTAATACTAGAATGGTAGCTATTATTAGCGAACTATATCAATGGCAAGTGATCATCCCAACTTCCCTTGAAATCAATGACACATGCTCTCAACATATCCCCTAAAGTTTGGATCATTCGCTCAGCTTGCCCATCGGTTTGTGGGTGAAAAATTGTGCTTAGCTTAACCTTAGTGTCAAGACCCTTTTGGAAGGATTTCCAAAACTGAGAAGTAAACTGAGTACCTCTATCGCAGATAATAGACAAGGGCACACCATTTCTGTTTTCAAATAAAAGAGTTGTGTTTAGAAGAGGACTCCCTTCAGACAATCAGATTTAAGTGACGTGACATATGGGCTCTATAGAGTAGGCTTTAACTAAATTCATATTTATTGAATTTAAATAATTAACACAATTATATTTATCCATTATATTTATTTTGACTAATATATTCATGAATTTAAAATCATTTTGTAAATTAATTTTTAATAAAGTTTAAATGATTACAATGGAACTTGATCCCATGTGTTAATGGTGCTCTTGTATGAGAAAAGGGTAGCTAGAAAAAGTACTCTGCAAACCCTGCCATTTGTAGAAGGTGGTGCACGTCTGGTGCAGAGTGGCAAGGTCATCAGCCAATAGCATTGCTTCTAGGATTTTGTGTCCACCATATATAAGCTTCATATCAATGGACATAGACTAGTTTTGCAATTCTGAATGTTTGGAAAGAGCAAAAGCCATTCTCTAGAAATATTCTCCTCAAGAACAACAAGGGACCTGATAGAGTTTTCATTGTTCTTAGTTGTTGTAGGTTTATATTTCTATGCTTATTCTTGTAAATCTATTCCTATGTTATAAAGGAATCAGATAAATTTGTGTCTTCAACATTGATTCTGGGTTATAGCTAAAGTTAGCTATGGTGAGTTAGTGAAGTCTAAATCGATTAGTGCTAGTTGATTTAGTGGGCAATAGAGTTGTTGCTTTGAAGCTTGTTCATAACAAAGTTGTTACAGTGAGGGGAAAGGGATTGAGAGTTAAATTCCTAGATTGCAAGTGTTTGTAATCTAAATCCTTGCTCCATTTGAGTGAAATGGAGTTGAGTTGAAATCTTGTGAGACAGGTCGTGGTTTTCTCCCCCTTGAGCAAGGGGGTTTCCATGTAAACTGCTTGTGTCATTTATTTTAACGCATTTATCTCAGTTACTGTTCTTGTTGAGTCAAGGGACCTGGTCCGTTGATGTATAGTGGACGCATACATTCGAACAATTGGTATCAGAGCCTGTGCTCTCTAACTTATTTACACCAAGAGAGAATCCTGTGGAAGAATGTTGCTCCACTAAATTTAGAGGAAGGACAATAATCAACTAGGCCACCTCGTTTCAATGGTCAGTTCTACAGTTGGTGGAAAACTAGAATGCATGATTTTCTTATGGCTAAAAATAGTGAGCTATGTGATGTTGTACTTGATGATCCCTATGTTCCTACAACTGAATTGAAGGAAGGAAACATTACCAGAGTTATTCCCAAAACTCGACAACAATACACTAAGGCTAATAGAAAGAAGATTGAGAAAAACTACAATGCAAAGAAATTGTTGGCGTGTGGCATAGGAGCTGAGGAATACAATCAATTTTCCGCATGTGAATGAGCTAAAGAAACCTGGGACTATCTCAGAACTGCTCATGAAGGGACTGAGCAAATGGAGGAATCAAAGGTGGACATGCTTACTACTCAGTATGAAAACTTCACCATGAAGAAGGGAGAAACTACTCACTAGATTCTCGTCTATCACAAATGAGCTATATTGCTTGGAAGAATCCATTCATCCAAGTAAACAAGTCAGGAAGATACTAAGAATTCTTTCTAAGTAGTGGGCAAGTAAAGTTGATTCTATTATTGAAGCTAAGGACCTAAAAGTGCTGACAATGGATGCTTTGATTGAAAATCTTCAAACTCACGAGATGAACAAAAATCAGGAAACTTTAAAGAAGGAGGTAAAGAGGAACAAGTCACTAACACTCAAAGTGACATCAAGTGAAGTGTCTGAAGAAGATGAAGACATGGCATATCTCACTAGAAGATTTCAAAAAATCGTGAGAAAACATGGAGGGTTCAGGAAGACAGGAAGCTCCAGCAGGGTTGCTAATGTAAATGATTTGTGCCACAAGTGTGGAAAACCAGGACATTTTATCAGAGATTGCCCTATGCACAAACTTAAATATAAAGACTATTTCAAGGCTGGAGGAGACAAAGACAAGAGAAGGGACCTGGTCCTGATAAGAGATGAAGAAAAGTTGTTGTTGACTATGTTGTGAAGAAGGCCCTTGCAGCATGGGGGAACTCTTCAAGTGACTCAGAAGAGTCCGAACATCTTTAAGATGCCTCCATGCTTGCAGTGAAACATGATAAGGATGTGTTTGATGCAATGTTTGCTTTCATGGCAAAATCTGATGATGAAGAAGTTGAAGAACATGTAACTCTTTCTGATTTGAAACAGAACTTGCATGTTTATTCTATTAAAAGGCTGAGGAGCCTAGCAACTGTTTTGATTGACTCAATCACTAAGTTGACCTCTGAAAAGGATTTGATGAATCACTACTAAAAAAATAGCGTTTAGCGACGGATATTAGAGACGAACAATATTCCGTCACTATATAACGACGGATTTGCGACGGAATAACCATTTTGTTGCAAAATTAACAAATGATTTTTTGATTTATAATATAGCAACGGATTTGCAACGGAATATTTAATCCGTCGCTAAATATTAGCGCGAAAATTTGGCGCCCAATTTTTCCTACGGATTTAGTTACAAAGTAGTGGACAAATTTAATTAATATTGGGCGACGGAATTAGTGACGGAAAAAAGGTTGCTAAACTATTAAATATATTTTTATAAAAAATATATTATATAGTGACAAAAATATCCGTCAATATATATATTTATTTAAAAGCAACGGATATTAGAATCCGTCACTAATTCCGTTGAAAGTCACTCCAATTTCAGATTTCAAGCCAACCCCCATCTTTTAATCCTGACCGTTGATCTCATCCTTTCAATCTTAGCCTCTCATTTCAAATTAATCCTAGGGTCAAGATCTAACTCCCTAGCTTTCCTATTTTTATCTACCAAAAGACCCAAACCTAAATTTCTCATTTTTCTTTTCTCTAGATCCGCCGCACCCCACCCTCTTCTGTTCCTCCTCATCTCTTCTCTGTCTTCCATCTCCGGCGAGGCAGCCACCCATCTCTGTCCACCATCTCCAGTGAGAACAAGAGGAGACATCGCTCTCCTCTCCTCCCCTCCCCTCTTCCTCTTCTCTCCCGTTGCCCTTCTTTGTCCCCTTTATGCCAGCAGCAGCAGCGAGACTGCTGCTCTTCCTCTCCTCTCCAGCGTTGCTTCTCCGGTGAACAGCAGCTCCGACCGGTGAGCCACCAAGAATCATCGACTCCGAACAGCAGCAGCCGGCGATAACTATCAGCAGTAGCCGCGAGAGCAGCAGACAGTGAACCACCAACAGTCACGTTTTAATCTTATGGTAACTTCCATTTACCCCTGCAACACTAGCATTTTAATTACGTCTTGTTACATAATAAATGGTCATCTTTGTATCTAAAAAAGTTTGTTTAGGTAAAAGATAGTTGATTGTTGACATGACTAAATACACAGCACAATACTTCAAAGTTCAACGTGTTCTATTTGGGACCATACATACAATGGAGTTGTTATATGTTTTTTTCAATCATTCTTCCTCCACCTCAACCCACAGAAATTATTGGCTATGTGTCCTTTATAAATGGTATTTTTTTCAATTTTGAATATCGAAGTATTAATTATGTGTTAGCCTAAATCTTCTATATGGATTAAGTCATAGTATAATCATAAATACGTATTCTTCCTCCAATTGATTTTTAAGATGGTATGCAGTACTCTTTCCATTTCTTTTCTTTTGTTCAAAAAGGTTAATACCCACATCAGTGATGTTTACATGAACTCGGATTCTACTAATTTGTGAGTGTTAAGTGATAAATGAAGGTATAAATATGTATTAATTAAAGTATAAATTACAAAAATCTCATAGTGTTAAGAGTTATTGGTAATGAACAATTATATATCATTGTAAGTCACTTATAAAGACAGTGATATATATGTTTGAGTCCAGTGATATAGAATGATTAGGGTAATGACAACCAATACAATAGCTTGTTGTTGTAAAAAAAATTCAAAAAGCTGGTAGGTATGTTTAACTTGTTCCGGACTTGGTTTCCAGTGTTCATTTGTAGCAAGTATGTTATTATGTAGATCATTTGCTCAATTATCATAAACTGAGATAAGTTGATCACATCTTGACTGTGCTTGATTGTGTGATGACTATGTGTAAACTTCATCTTTTTTAGGCATAGAATTGAGTTACATGTGAAGTTGCATTTGAAATAGTAAAAGTTACAGATATTAATCTTAGGAAGTTTATAGCCTCCAATCTCCACTTCGGCTGATGTTTCTCTGGCAACTAAGGCCGAGACAATGTAAAATTTCATTGCTTCTTTGATTACCTAAAATGTATAAACAGTTACAAGAAGAATGAGAATGGTTTAATCAACTAGTTCTCATTATCTCTTCTCTTTTTTTCTACTTGTAGTGTATACGAACTTCTTGTAAATATAAAATAATAACATTTACCTTATCGAGGTACGAGAATTTCTGCTGAAGATCATCGGCAGTAGGTATGTGATCATCAAGGCCAAAAGCTATCTCAACAAGCAACTTCTGCTCAACTTCTGGATGGCAAGCAACCAGACAAATGATAGAAGAGAAAGTAAAAGATGTTGTTGCAGAACCCGCCAGCAAGTTCTCATAAGTTACAACATCGATATAATCTGAGGTGAAAACATTCTTAGCTAACTTCTTTGACTCCATTGTCTGCATTATAAGCAACAAAAAGTTTTTCGAGCTACTTTCTTTTTCCTCCGTCCTCTTTGCCACTATCTCATCCAGCCTACTGCTTAAATTCTTGTATGTTCTTTCCATCTTTCAGTCCATAGTACCCAGGATTCTTTCGAGAACTTGATGAAGACTCATCTTGTCTGATATTGGTTTAGAAAGTCAAAAATCCACACCAAAAGAAGCTTGTCCAATTACATATGTTGCTAACTTGAGAGAGAGATCAGAGCATGTGAGATCTCCCTCAGAATCATGATTTTTAGTCGCAGACTCGATATACGATTGCATGATTGACACTAACTTAGCAAGATAAGATGGTTGGTAGACAGATAGAATAGTATTTCTCATTGTTGACCATCTTGAGTCCTTGTATAATTAACACAACATTAGCCTTCTTCTAGTTAAAGGAATCAACTTTAGCTTTTTTACCTAGTACAAACCAAGCCTTTCTGATGAAGAGGGGATGCTGCAATAGGAGATGGAATGCTTCTATTTGGTATGTCCTTGAATTTATATTTAACTTGCTTTTAGTTTACACTTGTTGCAATGAATTTACATGTGAACAACTGAATTATTGCTTTCAATCATTCTGGTTCATATTGAGTTGAACAACTTCCTCTTCAATACTAGATGTGTTATTTATTCTGTAGGGTTGACGGAAATTTATTTGACAAAAAAAATGGATAATATTTAATGGTAAACATTCATCTTTCGGGCTTGTTTAGGAAAATACTCCATGCTAGACACTTCAGTTGTTTTCTTTATTTTGAATTTATTGAGCTACTTATTTTTTTGAGATGGAACTATTGAGTTGGTTTTGCTGCACAATCATTGATACATATAAGCTTAAATGTACTGTAAGTTGGCTAAAAAAGTATAGCACATTTAATTAAGCTAAAAGGTTATGTGTGTTTCTGCATTTTCCTTCCATTATAATTTTATTCCTAATCTTTAATGTTTTCTCTTCATCTCAATTTATTACAGGGAAAATATGACGAAATATTACGGGAAAGAACAACCTCTCAATCTGATCATCAATGTGAAACATACTACAAAGTTGCCCGGGGAGAAAAGAAGAGAAGAATATAGGATCTTGGATTTGAAGCAAAAACTTACTACGGGCAGAATCTTTGTGCCTTATCATCTGTAGAATGTTTTGAACCCTCTAAATATTATTTTATATGATTTTTTGTTATTTTAGAGGTATTTAGTAATTGTTATTTAATTTATTTCAGCAGTGTATATTTAAAATAAATAAATGAAAATGATTTTACAAGAAAAATTTTAGCAACAAATTTAATGACAATTTGGTCGTTGCTATAAAAAAATGTTGGCGACGGATTAGCAACGAAATATTTAAGTGGCAAATGTGCTAGCTCAAATAACAGAATATTTTCTGACGGATTAGTGATAGAAATTTCATCGCGAATTTATTTTAAATGACGAAATTAATTATGAAATTAGCAACGAGCTATATAAGTATAACGACGAACCAGTCCGTCGCTAACAAGTGGCGACAGAAATCGTTCGTCTCTAATACGTCGCTAAACTTGCGACGGAACTCATTTTTTCGTCGCTAAGAGATTACTAACGAGCGATATAGCAACAACCAATAATTCGTCGGTAATCCGGTTTAGCGACGGAATAGCATAGATTAGTGACGGATTTCGTCAGTCGCTAAATGCTGATTTTTTTGTAGTGAATAACAGTCTAGATATTTTTCATGATGTAAAAGTAGCTTTGGTTTCTCAAATGTAAATAATGGAAGAACAAATGGTGCTCTTGTACGAGAAAGGACAGCAGGAAAAAGTACTCTGCATACCCTGTCATCTGTAGAAAGTGGTGCGCACCTGGTGCAGAGTGGTAGGGTCGTCAGCCAATAGCATTGCTTCTAGGGTTTTATGTCCATCATATATAAGCTTCATATCAATGGACATAACCTAGTTTTTGCAATTCTGAAAGTTTGGAAGAGCAAAAGTCATTCTCTAGAAATATTCTCCTCAAGAACAACAAGGGACCTGATAGAAGTGTGATTGTTCTTAGTTGTTGTTGGTTTATATTTTTGTGCTTATTCTTGTAAATCTATTCCTATGTTATAAATGAATCAGACTAGTTTGTGTCTTCAACATTGATTCTGATTTGTAGCTAAAGTTAGCTATGGTGAGTTAGTGAAGTCTAAATCGATTAGTGCTAGTTGATTTAGTGGGCAACAGAGTTGTTGCTTTGAAGTTTGTTCGTAACAAAGTTGTTACAGTGAAGGGGAAGAGATTTAGAGTTAAATTCCTAGATTGTAAGAGCTTGTAATCTGAATCTTTGTTCCGTTTGAGTGAAATGGAGTTGAGTTGAAATCCTATGAGATAGGTCGTAGTTTTATCATCCCTTGAGCAAGGGAGTTTCTACGTAAACTACTTGTGTCATTTATTTTAACGCATTTATCTAAGTTACCATTCTTGCTGAGTCAAGGGACCTGGTCCGTTGACGTATAGTGGACGCATACATTCTAACAACTCCATTTTATTATATTCCTATTTTCCTTTTTGTTGGCAGAACATCTCAAACTTCTATTAGGTTGTACTTCCTTCTTAAAAGCGTATTAATTCATTTTAGCTTTTATCATAATTATACTTTTCACTGATATTTATATATTGATTGAATTTTCA